ATTAATAAAATATGGTTCACAAAATATGTATAATATGTCTCATATCCTATTTGTATCTATTAAGCATTTACACATTCATTTCCTTTAATTTTTTATTTCTAATATTTAATATTTATTCCTATATTTGGGAAGTTCTTAATCTTTTCTATTATATGCAGGACTTATATTATAACCTAAAAAGATAGATATCTCACCCGACGACCCTAACGCAGCCGTCTTGTCGTGTTCAGCTTGCCCTTTCTTTCTGAAATGTTCGAAACCGTTATTTTTCCCGCATTTCTGACGTCACGTAATCATGACGCTCACGGTACCTCACCATTCATCTAGAGGCACTCTAAGCACCGTGAGTACTATGTAACTATGACGTCACTGTGTTCACATTGGCGCTGCAAGCACGAAATGGACCAACCATAAGCAACCGTGAGCGCACTAATCATATAAGCGTGAATCGGACCGCGGCCTCGGTTACACGGTTTGCGCAGTACGAATAGCGTCTAGTGGGGAAAATAAAAAGAGTTCGCTAATGGCGTTTAATACACTACTCAACAAAATCTAGGGAACACTCAACATGCTAAAAATTGGGCAATATTCAGAACACCATAATTCAATGAAAAATCATCGCAGACAAAAAAATAAAAAAGCATTTTAAAGGTTGAAATCTCTACTTTCGAAATCTAATGAAATTTCAATATGACTGATACAGGGTGCGGCAGCATAACTTCCTTTTTTCAAAACTTAATAAAACCAATTGTATGAATCAGAACATTTGATTTGTTTTTTATAATGTAGGCGCATGCCTAAAGTTTTGTTTTACATAGTTTTGAAGATCAAATCAGATAGGTGACGTCCCTCATTCTCTATACATTGAGTAAACCGATTTCTGGCGTTTGTCATGACTCTTGCCAGCATAGCAGGCGTTATGTTGGCAATTTCTTCCTGGATGTTGGTCTTCAAATCTTGTAGAGTCCTTGGACGGTTCACATAAACACGGGATTTCAAAAAACCCCATAGAAAAAAATCACAAGGGGTCAAATCGGGAGAGTGGGCCGGCCACTCCAAATCGCCCCTAATTGAGATGAGGCGCTCTGGGAAGGCAAAAGCACGCTCCTCATTGTTCTAACGCATGATAGCGACTGAACTGTGTCGAGACAAAACTTAATAGTCCCGCCTCTCGAACGAGACCACTAGCGCTCCGCTACGACATCAACCCACTGAATGGCG